CAGCCAGGGGATTTATTCTTCTTGAGGTGAGTTACAGCTTCTTCAATCTCGGACAGCAGAATTTCAGGTTCAGGGTTGTATTCAGTGTTTTCGAGGGCTGAAGTGTGGCCTAGATTTACGTGTTCTTCCCTGTAGAGCTCTGAACAATAGTTTTTCCATGTTTTCAACACTCTGTCGATATCACTTATGATAATACCATGTTTGTCCTCTATTGCATAGTTCTTGGGTTTAAATTCTCTCGCAAGAATTTTCACTTTCCGGAAGAGGTCTTTGGTTTCATTTCGATATCCGTGATTTTCTATTTCTTGGCAGATTTCAGAGATGTATTCTTGTTTGTCTTTTCGGCATCTTCGTTGAATATCTCTGGAGAGAGCTTTATATGTCTGTTGATCACAGGGGCCAACTTTAAGTTGCTTTCTTTGTTCAATCACTTTCCACGTGTTTCTGCTGATCCATGGTTTAATGCTATTATTTATAGATGGTTGGCGACATTGGTTCACTGTTGTTACGATGGTTTCTTTAATATCTGTCCAGGCTTCATCCACGCTTTGTTCTGACTGATTGTTCCCTATTCTGGTTAGTGCTGGTTCAATTCTCTCTTTAAAGGTAGCTAATTCGGGGTCCGTTAGCCCAAAAGAACGGCGAGAAGCTTTGCGTATGTTCTTGAAACGCATTCTGTAATCTGCCATCAAGAGCTGGTAATCGCTTCCGCATTCTGCTCCTGGAAATGTTTTTGCGTTGGTAATTGAAGACTTCCATCTCGAACTGATCAGAATAAAGTCTATTTGATTTCTTGTTCTATCTCCAGGTGATTTCCAGGTATAGAGTCTACGCGGATGATGTTTGAAATGCGTGTTCATTACAGAAAATTTCCTTTGGTTGCAGAATTCTAGTAGTCGGTCTCCTCGCTCATTCCTATCTCCTAGACCATATGGCCCTACAATCATCTTCATGTGGTCATCTAGATTCGTTCTTCCAAGTTTGGCATTAAAGTCGCCTAGTATCACCACTATGTCTTTGTTTGGTATTTTATCAAGTACACCTTCGAGAGCCATATAAAAGTCTTCTAGTGTTGCTTGTTCTGCCGTGGATGTCGGGGCATATATTTGTATGATGTGGAGAATGGATTTTGAGCACTTTAGTCTCAGATGTATAATTCTGTCATTAACAGCATCATATCCATTTACGTAGTTCTGGAATGTGGGTGGTATTATAATTGCAACCCCATTGATGCTCTCTGTTTGGTGGCCTGAGAAATAAATGGTATTGCCAGAGGAGCTTCGGAAATGCCTCTTACCCTTCCAATGAGTTTCACTGATGCCAAGCATAGAAATTCGATAATCAGCCATTTCTCTCTCTATTATATGTAACTTTCCAGGATGTTGGATCAAACCTCGTATATTCCAAGTTCCAAATCTGTTGGTTTTCCGAAGAGAGATTTTATTTAGTGTTCCAGTAGTCCTTTGTGCACCTGCGACCTGGTTCCCTGTCGCATTGAGCCCGGTAGCCCATTTCACATCTCCTACCCCGGACGTGGAAAGACGCCGATTGTCAATCGGTTCGCCTGACTGACCTAATCTAATTTTGTAACACTCCATATTGTAGAAAATTGTCTTAGGAATGTAGTGAAGTGGTTTCCTCTTGCCTACTTCACCGCTGTGCAGAGACCGTGTATGTGGTTCCCACTGTGCTCTCTGATGTCTGATCCATAACCATACCAGTCCCCATGACCTCTGCTCATGCTCAGTTTTAAACATCCAGCTGCCGATGTTTAGTTTGCGTTTGGGTTAGACGCTACCTTTCAACATATCTGGCTACCCTCACTTAGTTTAACCTGCAGACCAATGCAGTTTCCCGGGGTGTGGCACATGGAGCCATAAGTGAGAGTTGGGTGTCTTATGAGGACCAGTTATCAAGAACCATCTCCCGTCTATGACGCTTGATGTGGTCGTTCCGATAAAAGGTGCTACCCCTATAACACAACCCTACACCCCTGATTTTTGACACCAATTATTTAATTTTTAATGACAAATTTTATCGCCAAATTTTTGGAACTCCTATGGGATCCACGATTTCTCCTATTCTAGTCAACTTTGTTCTAGACGATCTTATTAATGAGAGTATCAAGAAGTTAGATTTCCAAGTTGTCGACGATCTGATTTTAGCAACCCCGTCGAACAAGACGGACGACACTTTATCAGTTTTTAACTGCTTTGATCCTCACCTACAATTTACATGTGAATTGGAGGTTGAGAACAGTATCCCGTTTTTAGATATGCGAATTATTCGCACTCCAGATAACAGATTAGTCACTACCTGGTACAGAAAAGAAATGGCTAGCAACCATTTCTTAAACTACCATTCGACACATCCAATCAGATATAAACTTAACCTGGTACAAGCCCTCAGCCTTAGAGTACACATGTTGACACATCCGCTTTACAAAGAAGAATCTCTCAATCTACTGAAGTCTATTCTCATAGATAACTCCTATCCGGCA